AAAGTCCCTACTTGATTCAGGTAGCCCAATTATTCAAAAATTTAAACTACCTTGTTTAAATTTTTAAAAAGTCGCCAAAATACATTTCGACTTTCTGTACAAAGTTTCAAACTCTTTTTGGATGATTAAAATGACAAAGATAACAAATGAAAAAAAAATAGTAATATAAGTAAGAATAGAATAATTTACATCAGGCAGCTTTAGTTACTGTAAATAGCCATTGTCTCCAAGCTACGTGATTTTTGTTTGGTTGGTCCATAAATATCACCACAACTTATAGAACACTGAATTTAGTGAGCTTAATTTTGCGAACACTTCATGAATCGCAGTACTGAATGCAAAACATCCGTTCCGCAGTGGCGGCATGTGGCGAAGTATTTAAAGTGAAAAGTGTTTTCCAATTTATAAATCTTTCTTTCAGATTGATCTAAGCTATTTGTTAGAACGTTAGCCTCGGAAGCACAAAGTTCCAAGTTAAAACTACTTAGAGTTAGTTAAATTTATAACAAAGAATGCATAGAAATTTAAACTAACATTTTTACTGTTATTTACTATGCCATCATCGTCGTCACCATTTCAGCCTGTTTGCGCCCACTGCTGAGTATAGGCCTCCTCTCTATTGCGCCATTCTTTCCGGTCCCTTGCGAGTCGTGTCCAGCGGTTTCCAACTATTGCCTTGATGTCATCAGTATGGCAAAAACAGGAATGAACGCTATCACATTGAAAACCTAAATGACCTGATTTTTTTAGCAATACCATGGACACTGGCGATACGGCACATACCAGTACACGTACAGACTGAAATTAACGAAAAGGAAATACTGGCGCAGGCGCACTATGGAATTAACATTCGCAATAACCACCATTATTATAATTCATGAGTATGATCTACTTCGCTAGATGTAACGTAAGTGCAGTCAGAAGTAGTGCAAGGGCGCGGTCGACATACTTTTCGTTTAATTTTAGATTTAACCAACAAATCCATATGTCCATTACAAATTTACATTTACAGGTGTATCCTCATACATTAGAAACTAGTAGCTTGTTTATCAGTTCATTGAATACATTTGCAAGAGTGTGCTAGTGAAACCACGCGTTTTATAGATGTCAATTGGTGTGTCTTACCTTGTTACAACAAGTTAGTAGCAGTAGAGCGCCTCGAGAAAGAGTTCGTCCAGGGGAACACTGCCACTTTACGTATTTCTGCCGCCAAACAGTAATGTGAGCATTATTGCGTTCCGGTTTGGAAGGGTAATGGTGCTGGTGAAATTACCGGCACATGGGACTTGTCACACAAATTGTTCTTGCCGTCTAAGCCTGGATGGATGATTCACGGAGATCTAGATGTTAATGAACTTTGTGTTGGGATTGAATTATTCTGGGGTTAAAAGATGTTTTATGTGTTTTAAAATAAACATTAAAAAACCTTCGAACGATATTATATACAGACAACAGAATGCATGCTCGATTTAAATTCAACTCTATACCGCTTTTAATATCCATATTAAAAGTGTCAGTCGTCAGTCAGTCAGTCATGTGTTTACGCTATATGTGAATATGGGAGGGAATGTGAAATTGAAAATCCGTCTTGTAGTACCCGTTTATAGACCAGCCCCGCGACATGCTGCTCTCCAAGAGATAATAGTATAGTATTTTCTTTCTCAACTTGCCTCCCAGTAGACCGTAATAAAGTTTTACTGTCCGATTAAGAACCCGCGTGTCAAATGTGTTGATAATGTCAATATTTTTTTGATGGACTGTCACGTGCAGTCGAACAGACTTTGAATTGGTAAAATTGGCACGCCAATTGATTTCGGAATTAACGAAGGGGAATGTAGAACACTGTCACACCTGTCAACGTAGGTAAATAATGCTATTCGCGTTTCAATTCAAATATTATGTTTCCAGGAACAATTCACTACCCTTTTTTTACTGTGTCAGGGATTGCCATAACAGTGATATACTTACCTAACGTGAAACCTTTATTGCCTCTTCGAAAAAGGCCTAGCTTTAGCGAAAGAAAAATAAAGGCTCGGCCCACATAACTCATTTAAAATTAGAAACGAAAAGGCTGTAACTGTAAAATAATATAAAAAAGTATAATCAGTATAAAACACTCCCTACTAAACAATCCAGGCGACACTTACCCCAAAGGGGCCCATGTAAGTTTGAGTTTTACATAAGAGTGATTTATGAGCACGTCCTTCGTTTTGAGAATTCTGATGGGAGTGAGAATATTCCAATATTCTCGGAAGAGGAAATTTGAGACGAATCATAATTTTTAAAGTAAGTGGCGAGGAACCAGTAAACAGGGTGATAAAACGGATGATGATGAAGGAGGTGAGCATCGCCACAACAGCGCTAAACCAGCGAAAAAATCAGCAAGAAAGTGCGCGCAAAAACGCAACTATTAGTTGTCAAAATATTATTACAGCCGCTACAATTTTTAAATTTCTCTAAAATTGTATACTTTTATCCGTGGAAAGTTAAAACACATTTATGTAAAAAGAACGTTTCTTATTAACATAACTTTCCAGCAACAATATAACGCCAGAGCCTCGGAAACCAGCTGCTTGTTATTGCAAGTTTTATGGTAAGTAACCTGCGGGTTGAACAAAGTTGGCCGTTGGCCGTCGGTCACTCCACATTCAACGATTGCTTTTACATTGTATGGAACAAAACAATAATCGGTTAACATTTTCAAATTGTATACTTAGTATTAAACATAATGTTAATAGTAACCGCATGAATAAAATATTGTAAATGTATGTTTTTTTGGACTCTACATTTATAGGATTGGGAAATAAGTGGTATTCTAGTACTTTCTCGTTCTTACTAACAATCCTCCTCTGACAAAAAGGAACAAAAGTTAGTTATAGTAAGCTGCAGATTTCGTAGTCGTACAATTGCACTAATCTGGTCATTTGTATTATTGGGCCTCGTATGTGCATCTGGATATTTACTGCAATTGACCTTTAGCAGAGCCGTGAAACTCGCGAAAATGACATACCTGCCGTCACCTACAAACACACATCTGGGGAATCAAAACTACGACATGTTCCAGAACGGGTTTTACAACTTTTGCTTTCATATATCACCTCATCACCTGCTTACACTTGAGAATTGTCTACAAATGACAATTTTGTTCGAATTTTTATACTGTCACACTTTAGCAACCCGTTTTTTATGACGTTACATTAAAAAAGAAGTAGGTGTGTGCAATTTTTTAGCAAGCTTCCCTCTTATGCTCTGGCTATAGCTGCGCTTGTGTTAAATATTTTTTTCGTGCAGTTAATTTTCCCACTCTCCCTCCGCATGAAATTAATAAAATAAATAACACAAGCGCAACTACAGTCACAAACCAACACCAAAAATATACCCGACACGTATTTCGCCTCGTGGAGAGGCGAGTATTTTTTTTCTTGGGCCGAGAGTCGAGCAATCAACAACTCCTGTTGTTGATTGCTCGGCCCAAGAAAAAATTATTCGACATAAGCGCAGATATTTTGCACGATTTAACCTTCACTGGGTTCGCGGAGTAGCAAATTAATTTACTTCCATTTTTATTAACATGGACTTCCGCAAAGTAACACCTGAATCTATTAGTCCCTTTGAGCTGACTCCGACTTTTCGTGATATATCCATACCCATACCTGACTGTCTCCAGCTATTTGGAATGAACTTGTCGTCCAATTTTAACTTCGGCAGATACATAAAATCCATGACCAAAAATGCAGCCAAAAAGCTTGGCATCCTTTCCAGCGTGAGGCGTTACTTCACACCGGGACAGTTACTTCAGCTGTACCAAGCACAAGTCCAGTTGTGCGTGGAGTACTGCTACCACTTATGGCATGACTCTGGTAAATACCAACTGGCCACCTTGGATTCAATAGACAAGCGTGCTAAGAGGCTTATAGGTGACTCGGAATTAGTGGAGGCGAAGTTGCAGAGCCTTGAACATCGCCGTAAAGTGGGTAACTTTACGGCGATGTTCTACAGCAGATGCTTATCGGTATTCTACAGGGTATATCACGGAGAGTGTGCGAGGGAATTACACAAATTAATTCCACCTTTCCCTTTCCATCATCGGGGGACCAGACGTAGGCTGGGGTTCCACTCCTATGTTGTGGATATTCCAAGGATTCGCACGAAGCGTTTCGCTTCCCCATTTATATGGCGAACGGCTATTGAGTGGAATTCCCTGCCTTCAGATTTGTTCCCTGAACGTTATAACTTGGACCTTTTCAAGGCGAGAGTGAACAGACATTATTTAGGTGTGTATGCTCCATCGTCGACTTCGTCGTCACTTTAGTTTTAAATTTAATGTAAGTCAAATGCGCAGTTATTTTTTAAATAAAAAAAAGGAAAAAAATATCAAAAATTTGTATTGACACCATTAAGTAGAAGTCGGTCGGGCGACGTGAGAATCAGCGCAAGGAATTTATACAATTATTCGATAAACACGGATAGCCTATCTTCCCTCAGAAACCTCCTACCATTTAAAGTTTTTTTTATACTAGGGTATAGTTTCCAAAAAGGCTTGTATATAACTATGAATACGAACTACTTTTATTATAGAGGTTGATTTTTCATATTTGAAGCGTTTCCACCAATAAGAATAATTTACTATAATATCATGCCTCTTATATTGAAATAAGTGTTAGTGGATTTTATTGAGAATTGAAAGAGTTCTTGCTTAGTAAAAGTCGTCATCAAAATAGCTATAGTTTTTAGAAATGTACGTTACTATGGTGCGTTGGAAATAGTACTTAGTACTTTCCAGGTTACTTAAAAAAATTAAATTCTTATCAAACGTCATTTCTCGAAACTAATTCCAATGTATTATTTATGCATTACAAGCAAAGTTAGTACAAGCGGAGCAATTGGGAACTGAAAATATAAACCATAATATTAAATGATGATATGTTTAATTTAACAAAACCTTTTTAACTTTAACAAAGTAAATAGGCACACATGTATTTATTTAACGACTATTTACACCAAGCAGAATACAATTTGTTATCACAAACATCTAATAGAATAACTATGATTGGATATGTATATGAGACATGCGCTGGGTTTCCTTTTATTAGAATATTAGAATTAGAATATAGAATATTTACAAACGACTAAAACTTCAGACAAAGGTACTTGGTTACACATACAATTCATAATTTTAAACTAAACAAGATATGTCAAATTTATTATTGTGAACGAATTGTTGCATCGGAGTCTACATGAAAATTATAAAAACTTTATATGTCGCAAGGCAAATCCCAGTGAAATAAATGAATTGGAAATTGAGTTGATTGCATCACGCTCATACAATACGTGCCACTACAGAGCATGCGTCCCCTCTATGAAGAGCATATGGCACAATGGTGCTCCAAGATTCAGCTTCTTGTACAGGTACAGCGATGACATGAACAAGGAAATCTTTCACGGAAATAAACCCTGAAACTTATTATAATAGAGGTACTAATAAGTTGCACAAACAAATTCGAAATATTAATTACTCTTGTGTAATGTTTCTTACGGTTATTGCCGAACTTGTTGAGAAGACGGCACCGTAAAAGAAAGAAAATAATACTTCTCGCGCGTTGAGCGTTTATTCGCTGACGGTAATCGTGAGTTGCTTGCCTCGGGTGTTCTCGAAGCGGTCCATGGTCTTGATACCCATGATCATCGTGACGGACACGCCAAGCACCATCAGCATAAGAAACGCTATCATCAGACCCGACCTGCCAAAAACGGGAACTTAGTAAAACTGAACAGGTGTTCCTACAGGCGGCTACAAAAGCTGTCAATGCAAAAGTATATAATTAATAAACCAGGTGCGGTTTCAAAATGTCGTATTTGTATGATCATGTAATCAACATGTTATAGTCGCGAAGTATGTGTTTTACTAAGATATTTTGCAAAGAAATCGTGTTCGTACGTTGCGCGTTCTTCGTTCCACATTCTGTGTTTGAACATGGTGAAATTACAGGCACATAGGACTTGCCAACTCATGTCTCAGGGTGACGGGCGCAGTGGCAGTGCCCCTCAGATCTTTGCGATTTAAAGCTCTAAGTGGCACTGCAACTGTTACGGACAGGCGTGTAGCTTACTATCAGATGCACGACTTGTTCGTCCCATCACTTGGTATTAAAAAAGAAATCTCAATGGTTTAGGTTTACTCTGTGGCGCTAAACGAGGAAGTCCCAGGGTTCATTCCTGGCATTTTTGAACTAGTTAGTCTTTTACTTACATAACATAATGTATGATAAAAGTATAGCAAAAACAAAAAGTACAGTGAAGTTAACGAGTCATCAACAAAAACATTCGCCAAAAATCTAACAAAGGGGCCGGCGCGCGTCTGTGGCGCTGCCCTTTTGTATCCATAACACAAGTATTATTTAGGTTTGATCGTAAAAATATTATAGTTTATTCTTCGTCATTCGGTTGACCTTCACCATAGTAGTACTCAGATCTGAACTGAGAGTCGATTTGACTTGTTTTTTGACATTTTTTGTAAAAAATAATGGAATACGATAGTTTCATAAATAGCAATAGGTAATTGTAAGACTAGCAAGACTCTTGCAGCAAGACCAAGACTGAATGTGCAAGACCAAGTATAATGACGCGAAACCAAGACCGACACTGGGGTTAATCTCGTATAGGTCTTGTTTTGAGCAACACTAATGAAAATCCTGTGACGTCAGGATCCTTACCATATGGGAACGGTGGTGAATCCAATACAGTCAAAGGCGTCTGAAAATTTCTCAGTGCTGTCCATGAACATCTGCATCTGCATGAAAAAAGCAACATTACACAATATACTACGTAACAATGAAGAAATTAGTAGAGTTACATACAAAATGTATACAATCTTATAAGACTAGACACAGAATATACCTACCTAAATAAGTAAAATCATTTGTATAAATAACAATTAAAAAATCCTAACAACGATAAAAAATGCCTGATAAAAAACGTAGACAATAGAGTAGCCCTTTTTTTGACTCGCTTATGGTCGATCAATCGTTTGTTAACAATTCTAACCGCATGAACTAATTCAGAGTCGGAGACTCCTTAACACATTCGACAAGCGCAATGGCCTCCTACTACTTCTAATTAACAAAAACAAATTTAGTAGCAACGAAACTCCTTGTGAAAGAGTTCGTCCAAGGAAGCACTGCCACCTTACCTATTTCTGCCGCCAAGCATTAATGGTGCTGGTGAAATTACAGGCACATGGGCATGGGACATGTCAACTTACGTCTCAGGGTGACGGGCAAAGTGGCAGTGCCCATAAGATCTTTGCGATTTTAGCTCTGAGTGGCACTGCAACTGTTTTGGACAGGCGAGTAGCTTACCATCAGGCGTACGACTTATTCGTCCCGTCACTTGATATTATAAAGAAAAGATCATTATTACAGTTATGATTATTAACAACAAAGATCGAACCGACGTCTTCTAGCATACCGTGCCAGACGCTAACCCAACATTTAGCGCCGTATCGTCGTAGCGCCATCTATGATAAATCTATTATATCATAATAAACTAGTGGACTAATTTCACAAAAAGTTATTGAATATCAATTCAATAAAAGTTTAAAATTATTACAGTTCTAAACGTTTTTATTACATATGTTTAAATTTTAATTGTTTTTGTGCTCTGACCTTGTACCGAAGTGCCTACTATATACGACATACGTCGCGATGGGTCATGGTTGACTTTCTGTAAGAGCTTGTAATAAATACTTCATAATAAAGCTATGATATATAAGAATTGAGAACTATGATAGCAAGAAACATTTACAATTTTAACGTGCAATTAGAAATTGAGGATCTGAAATATTTTAAGCTTTGTGTAACCGAAATGGCCGGGGGCGTCGGCCGTACTAGGGAATTTGCGAGATCCCACTATTCCACGGTGCCCACAACACCTGACCAAGAGGGTAAGCCGGGGAGGTTTTAGTGGGTGTACCCTCCACCTGGAGGGCTAGTCCCACAAAACACTTGAGCTTCCCCAGGCTCTAAGGCATGTATGAAGCATTTCCCCCCTTCTTGTAGGTTTCACATCGTAAGTAAATGGCTCAGGCTTAAAATTGAATAGGTACATTATGGAATGCAAATAAACAAGAATTAACAATAAAGAATACGCATGCCGTTGTGGAATCACCTATATCTTTAGCAGCAGTAAAGCTCCTTGTGAGAATCCGTCTAGGGAAGTACTGCCACCTTACCTATTTCTGCCGCCAAGCCGTAATGTTAGCATTACTGCTTGGCGGCTTTATTTGATATTATAAAAAACCTACCTGTACAAGTTGTCGTATTATTATGTAAGCGTTTGTTAAATAGTTTTAATATTTTCCCCATTACACATTTACCTACATAGGTACATCAGTAAATTAAAAATTAAAGGATATTTATTGTACATGCACGCCTGCCTTTAGGTTGTTGTTACTTCGGCATTATGCAAATCAGTACATTCTTATCAATATGAAGCCGACGCAAAGGCCTAGTAATAACGACTTACTCGTATGTCAGGTAGAGTCAAACTGCCTCCATCTTTGGAGGTATACACAAGAGGCAGGGAGCAGTGATAGGCCTTGCCGAGAACTGCGGAGGGCGTGTCGGGGGGCGCGGGAGCCTGCAGGTTGAGACCTTCCATTTCCAGCCCTCGTTTTACCTCCACACCTGAGGCTATCCACCAGCCCTGGGACTGTTTGAACGAGAAGTCCAGAGTTGTCTAAAAAACATAATTAAAATTATTATTATATGCAATTCATCAAGATGTAGGTATAAAATGACATGCACGCTAGTGTTCAATCGGATCTCAATGTGGTTTCCTTGTTACAAATCAGCTGTTTGTGCGATGGTCAGTGCCGTGTTTCTTAGTTTTATTCCATATTTTTCCAATCCACTGTTCAGGACCGTACAGAATTATTTTAATAAGATAGTAACTAACGTGCACTAAAGGCAGACAGAAATTGAAATAGTACAGTGTTTCTGAACTTCTATGCACTCTCTATTTTCTGTGACGCAACATGCAACAACTGACCAAAATAGGTTTTGTATCAGTGCTCCAATTAGTTCTGCTATTTTGTTGATATATAAAATGAAAACATTGTATTTTTCGCTACGTCCTGTCTCACTACGTGTTACTTCCCGCCACAAAAAATATTGGGTTTGAATAAGTACCAAGTCACCTTGTAAGTGCTGTTGCCATCGGCGAACCGCACGACGAGAAAAGTGTAAAGTCGAGTTGTCTTGACCGTGGGCTCCCCCACGGGAGTGCTCAGCACTGCCACCGCGCCGTCGGGCCAGCGCACTTCGGGCCAGCCGGAGGAGTACAGCAGCGCGCCTTTGCCCGGCGGACCTGAACCGATCAAGTATTGGTAAGTATATGTTGTGATTCTTATGCTAGGTAATAGTAATAACATTAGTAATAGTAAAGGAAATAAATGACGTGTTCTTGAGAATACATGAGAAGTTTGGGTGTAAATTCCTGCTTAGTGCATTCCCTTATTGCTCTAATCTAGGCACTACACACACAACGCGTATGTACATAATGTAAATTCCTTAGACTATCCATCCTCTAAGTTAAATTTACATTTTTACAATTTGACATGCCGTCATAGTGACGTTATTTCTTGTTGTGTCATCAATAAGTTTGTAAGGAATTTCAAACTCACACTTTCAATTTCACTCCTCCTCTTTTACGTGTGTTAATAACATTTTTTTGCAACACAGACGCAGTATCTAATTCAATAAAAAATTGCTTAAGATCAGACCATAGTGGCCAATTGGCTACATTTAACTGTAAAATGACGAAGAACGTAGTCCAATTTCTCTGTAGACCGATTACCACAGAACGAATTATTATGTTATGAAATAATGTTGACAATAGTTTGAATCTGCTGCCCCACATACCGTAGGTGTCAAATATTTTATATAGCGCGATATTTAGTTGTATCAAAAATAAATTTGATAATGTATTTAAATCAAAAACCCTAACTTTCCATAGGGAGAATAATTCAATGCCTGGACAACAGTAGGCATTCATAAGAGTAGATCTCGTTTGTATGAGCTATATGCTATGAAAAGTAATAATACTAATGCCAGTTAATATGTTAAAAATTATTCAAAAATATTTAAAAAGGTATGTGCAGCTGCTAAGGTTAAGTTTCATACCGATAAAATTAGACAATCGAAAAATAAATCAAAAACTACTTGGGGTATATTATAATTATTAATACAAAGAATGAACACTCAGAAAAAATTCCTTCGATCCGGCCGGATTCGAACCGACGTCTTCTAGCATACCGTGCCAGACGATATACCAACTAAGCCACGGAACGAAGCTGCGGACCTCACGAACTCTTCAATGTGCTTGTTGTCGTGTCTTTGTATTTGGTTTTTCAACGACTTTTTAGTCGTAGCGCCATCTATGAGAAATGTATGATATCTATGATATCAAAACAAACTACAGTAGAATACTTGAGCTTACCGATGTTCCTACTGCTAGGCTAATTTACTTTAGTTACTTGCATAGTATTAGGGGTTAAAGTATGAAATTGCCGTTTTATTGCAATAGGTTCTTTGAATTTTCATAGAATCTTCATGGTTTGAGGTTTTCGAATTAAACTTTTCAAATGGTTTCTGTGATTTTTTTTTAATTAGAAACATTTGAAAAGTTTCGACTTTCAATTGTTTTTGTTATTCAATTTAGACAAGAAAGATGGATACTGCGAAAATTCGAGTGATTTTTGAATACGAGTTCCGACGCGGAACTAACGCGGCAGAAACAGCCCGCAATATCAATGCTGCGTTTGGAGAGGGGTCTACTAATGAACGCACCGTGCGATTTTGGTTTAAACGCTTTCGTGATGGAAATTTCGACTTAAAGAACGAGCCACGAGGAAGACCGCCCACACAGGTGAATAACGATGAATTAAGAGAGATAGTGGAAGCCGATCCTAGTCAAACTACCCAGGAATTAGCGGCATGGTTTAACGTTACCTTACCCACAATATTGACTCACTTGCGTCAAATCAATAAAATAAAAAAGTACGAAAAATGGGTGCCTCATCAGAAACGCGTGTTGAAACTTGTGTTGCCTTGTTGAACCGGTACAGAAATGAAGGAATATTGGATCGAATTGTAACATGTGATGAAAAGTGGATTCTTTATGATAACCGGAAAAGAAAAATGCAATGGCTGACCCCAGGTCAAATGCCACAACAGTGTCCTAAAGCAAAACTTACCAATAAAAAGGTAATGGTAACTGTTTGGTGGTCTCAGCATGGTGTTATTCACTATAGTTTTCTCCGATCTGGTCAAGCAATAACGGCAGATGTCTATTGTGCCGAACTCCGAACCATGTTGACAAAACTAGCAGTAAAACAGCCCCGACTCATGAATCGATCTTCACCATTATTGCTCCACGACAACGCGAGACCTCACACAGCACGAGAAACCATTTTGACCCTTCAGGAACTGCAGTTAGAAACCATTCGTCATCCTCCGTATTCACCAGACCTTGCTCCAACGGACTACCATTTTTTTCGTGATTTGGACAATTATCTACGTGACAAGAAGTTTTCTTCCCAGGAGGCAGTACAAAATGCTTTCACACAGTTTGTGCAGTCTAGATCGTCGGAGTTCTATCGCAAAGGCATTAATAACCTTCCCATTAGATGGCAGCAATGTATAGATAATAATGGCAACTATTTTGATTAAATAAATTTGTTAAAAATTTAAAAAATAAACAATTTAGATTTTCAGTACAAATCGGCAATTTCATACTTTAACCCCTATTATAATGTTCTACGGGATTCTCATGCGGGGTAAAGCGGCAGATATTCAAACCATATTTGTATTGCAAAAACGAACGATTCGTTCTGTGTACCGTCTAGGTTCTCAAGTTTCTTTCAGAGAAAAGTTTAAGAAGACTAGTATCATGACTGTGGCATCACAGTACATTTACTGACATAATTTACATGCGCGTAAAAATATACATAATTTCATTAAGAAAGAAGATATCCATAATATTAACCTTAGAACTAAAAAGTCCAAACTCATGGTACCACGATTTCATTTAACTAAGGTAAACAATTCTTTTATGGGGAACTGTATACGTTTTTATAATAAGATTCCGGAGCATATATTAAGATTATCATTTCCTAAGTTTAAAACTTACTTAAAAGTATTTTAATTGAAAAGTCATACATTACAAAATTTAATAGTATTTGTTAGATACAGATGTATGGAAAGACAACATGAGTCTAGATTCCACACAATTATGATTCAAAGTGTATTCCATAACATAAAAGTTTATTTGAAAAGAACAATCCCTAGGGTTTCTTGCTCGTTCTTCTGAGGGATGTCAACATAATGAACAAGCGGCAGCTTAAAAAATGACGTTTTCAAATTTCAAGTGTAAAAATGTTACCTATGGAATAAATGATTATTTGACTTTGACTTTGAGCATGAAGTTATAAAAATTCAACGCCATTCATTACGGAGCCTCATAATGAAACGTCTCATATTGTTGTTACAATTTTTACCGATCTGTGATGTAACAAGTAGTAGAGAGCGAAAGAACAAGTAAGTAGTTCACAATCGCTGCGTTATGAGCACATGCTGTAGTCAAAGTCAAAGTGAAATAATCTTAATTTCATAGGTAAACAAATTACTACTACTAATTACTTGGTTAAACGCTGCTGCTCATTCGTAATTCGCAAATTCCCCTGAGAAAAATGAGCAAGGAACTCTAGGGGTTGCTCTTTGTGAATACACATTTGCATACATTTATTATCACTATATTTAATTAGACATCTTAGATCATGACTACCTGCAAGAGCTAAAGGGGTCACTACCACGGACTTTTGTAATCCAAGTAAGTAGAAGCTGTATAAAATAACCTTTAGTACAAAGTTTTTGTTTCCCTATACTTTAATCTCGTAAATGGCAAATTTTAAATATCAATCGGAATCGTATTACAGCGACGTATAGTCAAGAAGAACTAGTGTACAGAAAGAAGAGTATAAGGACAAGAACAGAAGAGTATATTAGAAACAATCTGTAACCTATTGTTTGTAATAAACTGATAACAAGTACCACAATGATATGTCGTCAAAAGTGACGGCAATTTTTTAGTAAATACTGTCGACAATAATAGTAAGGGCCACACCAACTGACCGCCTGTCATTCGTCATTCTGCTGTATAAAATAACTGTAACGTGGTATGCGGGGGCATAGGAGTCGGATATTAAAGAAGCGCTTCTAAAGTGCTGGAGCTGACCGCTGCTGGCGTTGTACAGTGCGTATTTGGGGAGCGCGCGGCCGCCGGCGGCCCTGTCGTCGGCGACGTCGTCCTCGTCGCCCGGCGCGGAGGCCTGGCGACGCGCGCGCGCCCACTCGCCCGCCGCCTCCTCCACCGCCGCCGGTTGGGACACCGAGTTCCCTGAGAGCCAAAGCGGATATGTCACACGTTATGGAAACAAATAGAAGCAGCGCTGTGCCCTCATATGGCATTCAAAACTTGTTGCATTACGTCTCACGCCTGTGGTGGTGGTTACCGAGTATGCCGAGCACGCGCCCCTCGCCGTAGATGTCGTGCAGCCGCGCGAAGGTCTCCGTCATCTGCGCGTCGCGCTCGGACCACGGGCCCTGCAGCGTCAGCATCTGAACCGGACACCGCGGCTATTACTTGTCTATTGTTTCACACGATACAAATTGGGTAAGAGCAGTGCCCGTGACCCCTGAACGGGCTCGCAAACGTTACCCTCTTAAGGAGATCTGCGCGGAGCTTTAGTCAACCAAAATATGTTGATATAATAGTAATATGTAGAGTTACTTGGTAACTATTGTAATATTTGATATTTCGAATCGTTTACTTCTAATTGGTCGTTGTTAAAACTTTGCCTTATATTTAAGTTAGGTACTGTAGTCTGGTAAACACTATTATTGAAAGAAAGAAAGAAGAAAGAAAACTGTTTATTACACAAGCACAGACACGCATATAAACAAAACAAGAGACGAACAATAATAATAATAACAATAATAACGAAAATTCAAAATTAATCTTTAAGGCCTTGGGAGAGGCGTCAGTTTAAAACAGATAGAATAATAATAAAAAGAAAATTAAAACAATTATGCAGTACCTAATACACGGTCATGCGTGTCGCGGCTGGTGCAATCGGGACTTGCTCAGCTTTAGCCACAAACAGCTTTTTTTAAACCGTTTCGTGGCGCTGATTTTCAGCAAGCCCGGGGCGAGTGAGCCACTGACCACAATAAAGAACTCAACAATAAATAAATAAACCGACATAATAGGTAGTGTACATACAACACATACACATGTGAAATACTTATATGTAAAAACAGTATATCTGTAAAATAAACTTAAATTCTAATATTTTTATACAAATGTGATAATAATATAAATGTATAATTTTGTGAATTTTCGTGTACACGCGGACGATAATAGGGGCTCGAGGCGAGGTGCGGGAACTTTCGAACAGGCAACACCTGTTTGGTTGTGCAACTGCGCTGCGCATATTTTTTTCCTTATCTGCTACGTATACCGAAACTGAATGAATATAGCAGTAGAGCTCCTAGTGAATGAGTTCGTCCAGGAAAGTACTGCCACCTTACCTGTTTCTGCCGCCAAGCAGTAATGTTAGCATTACTGCATTCCGGTTTTGAAGGGTGGTGGTGGAGAAATTGCAGGCACGTGAGACTTTTCAACTTACGACTCAGGGTGATGGGCGCAGTGACAGTGCATCTCAGATCTTTGCGATATAAAGCTCTGAGCGGCACTGCGACTGTTACGGACAGGCGTGTCGTTTACCATCAGGCGCACGACATTTTCGTCCCAACGCTTGGTATCATAAACAAAATAATAAAGAACTTGTTCGTCCCGTCACCTGATATTTAGTTATAGATAGATAGGTATTTACCTGAGTTTCATTGCTGATGTAATCTGGATGCACATCCAAGAAATCCTGAGGCAGCACCAACATGGTCTGACCTTCCAACATCTTTCTTAGTCTCGGGAAACAGCCACTAGACAGAGGCACACTGTCCTGATTATTAAACACCACTATGGCAGCTTGCTCTTCATAAATTTTCATCAAGTCATCTTGTTCTAAGTACTTCAACGCTGGCCGACGGTATTTCTCCAAAGATTTTGGCCCAAAGAACAAAAACGGACCTTCCAGATTAGCATTAGTGCAACAAACGTAACAAAGCAATGCTAAAAGATATATTTTGATATGCATCTTGGTTGTCTTCGGAACCAAAGCGGAGTGTACTGAGTTGGGGTGTTGTATCGATTGTGAAGGGGCGCATGCGCGCAAGGTTTCGGCGGGAATGAAATATGTCTTGATTAATTAAGCCAGGTATCAGTGAACCCACAGACCACATAAATGTGAGTGGACCTCAGGAAGAATGCCGATTTGAATAGTAATCAAACCCTTTTTGACGTATGTTAGACCATTGAATGAAACAATGAACGACAGTTTGTGTTCCGATTCAAAGTTCGTCAAAGTTATCCGTCGAGACGGCACACAATGTTTTAGCCACTTGTCTAATGCTATATGGTTCATCTTAAATGTAGGTACTTAGCTCTAGGTGCTAAGCGGTGACAATGAAAATCCAGTTCACGTCAATACATATAATACAAACAAGACAGTAGTACATGAAAGCGAAGGAAGAAACGAGCACAAGCAGAAAGTACAGCACAGAAGAAACACAGAAGTAAACAGATAACAGTATAGTCCATGTAACAGTATAGCACGATGCGGCGCGGATCCCTACAATACTGAAAATGCGTGGTGGCTCGAATTTTGTGTCCGGAAGTGTCACTTCAATGTCAAATAAGTCATCAATGCAAAATAATGATAATAATAACAACAATGTCAAATTAGATATCCTTATCACGTTTAAATATAAATTAAGGCCGATCGTCACGGTTGATTTCCATACAAAACGCAATCAATATTTTCGCCACTGCGAATGCTTTTATGTATAATATATTCCATTTCCAATAAAAAACAATTTTTTTTCTGATTATGGCGCATACCATTAGGGTGGTATATTTTCTTCAAATTTAAATGGGACCACGTCTAAGGTACCCTCTGTCCAGCAAAAGAAAAATCATCAAAATCGGTTAACAATTTTTTTTGCCGGAGTTTATCTACATGTATGTAATATAATACCTCGAAAACGATGACCAACTTGCCATTATTTGAAAAGCCTAGTTTTAGCAGCAGTAGAGCTCCTTGTAAAAGAGTTCGTCCAGGGAAGCACTACCACCTTACCCATTTCTGCCGCCTGTGATATATGTCGGTGGTAATATGTGTAATATTTAATCCTTGCGATTGTCAGAGGGTAGTCTCTCTCTTCTTAAAAATATACCTTGTTACCGTACGGATGTGTTTCAATTGTGCTCCTGATTATTACTGTATAAAGAACCAATTATTTCTCACCGCCAAGCAGTAATGTTAGCATTACTGCGTTCCGGTTTTGAAGGGTACACACATGGGACTTGTCAAGTTATGTCTCAGGGTGACGGGCGCAGTGGCAGTACCCCTCCGATCTTTGCGATTTAAAGATCTGAGCGGCACTTCAACTGTTATGGACGGGCGTGTAGCCCAGTTACCATCGTTAACCTAGTTACCATCGGCCGCACGACTTGTTCGTCCCGTCACTTGATATTATTAAAAAAAAGTGTGTCCGCCATCTTGGATTTAAAAATAAGTGCCATACGTGTAATAAGCACCCCAAATACCTCGAAAACAATACCCAACATGTCATTATTTGAGAAGTCGTGTCAAAACTTTCATAAGTCGAGGACTATTACAAGTTTAGCAACTTCCTTTAGTTCCGGAGATAATTTTTGTTCACAAAAACATATCATACATCATATCTACACAAAAATTATCCCCAATCACTGGTCCAGTGCAAGGACTGCTGCTAGAAAGAATATCTCTCAAATTGTAAGTAAAATAAATAACGTACAAAAGTTTCATTGTGTTTATTTAAAGCAAAATGACTATTTACATTACATTCACAAATAATAATATAGAAAAATCTTAACTACCAACGTAAATCACAAGTACACATAAGACAGTACTGAATGCGGATTACTATGAATCATTGTTAAAAAAACGAGTTTTTAAATTACCACTGCAGCCTGTAAAAACTGTTTTTGCCTCAAGATTCCCCCCTTTTATGTTTTCATTTATTTATAACAAGTTTTTCAAATTACACGACATGAGGGAACTGTCGGTGTATGAAGTTAAAAGAAAAGTAAAACAAGAATTATTAATTATGACTTGTAATGAGTCCGAAACATTGTTGGTACCTATAAAGTGATGAAGACGCTTAACTAGCATGACATTTAAAAACTCACACACACGCACAAAAACACACACACACACACACTCACACAAACACGCACAGACCTACTTACAAGTTATTATAATAGTTTTGCCCATATAATGTATTGCCCTGTTAACTTTTCATTTTATTTTCACTTGGTTAAATGTAGTTGTGTGTATTAGTTTTTCATTTTTTCATTTAAATATATATTTATATCTTACGAATTTACGAAGGCTCTGTAATGTATGCGATACTCGTTTCACTGTACTAAACGTCCTAAGTGATAACCACGACACAGGCGTGGCCTAGTGTGGTTGTCAGAGTTTAACAAATAGTTGTATCTTGTTCTGATAATAAACGTATTTTATTTAAAAAAAAAAAAATAAATAAATAAAAGCAAAATATAAAAAATTAAATGACCTGAGGTTCCAACTCCAGACATTCAGTATTCATACTTTGGTCACTAGACCATACCTTTGTGTGTGTGTGTGTGTGTGTGTGTAATTGAAAGATTGTATTTAATTAAGAATTCCTCCAATCGCATATACAATAAAAGTACAAAGTCATATAAAATATAAAATAGATATATAGAAGGCAAGATAGATGTATAGAAGGCATATAAAATATTTGAGTAAATGTACTGTGATGCCACAGTCATGATACCGGTCTCCTTAAACTTTTCTCTGAGAGAAACCCGAGAGTCTAGACGGTACACAGAACAAATCGCTCGTTTTTGCAATACAAATATGGTTGAATATCTGCCGCTTTACCCCACATGAGAATCCCGTAGGATATTATACTATGGAAGTAACTAAAGTAAACTAGTCTAGCAGTACTAATATCGGTAAGCTCACGTATTCTGCATACTGAGTATGCAGCGGAGCTTAATCTGCTGGCCAGGGAAGATATATGTGGAAACCATTGAAGTTTACTATCTAAGGTCACTCCCAAGAAGACTGCTTTATTGACAAGGTCTAACTTTTCACCGTTTATTTCTATGCTTGGACTAGTCGATTTTACGTTAGGTAATTCAAATTTAACACATTTTGTCTTCTTGGTATAAAGCAATAAATTGTTAGTATTAAACCAATAAGCTACCTTAGAGAGGGTATCATTAATACGGTCATAGTTAATGTCATGTCTGTCTGTTTTAAAATTCAAGGATGTGTCATCAGCAAACTATCTACTAATTTCACATTTGGGAATTTGACCCAAAAGAGCCTTGTGGTACGCCCCTTTTCATTTTAACTATCCTTGACTTGCACTAGTAGCATTAGTAGGTAGGTACTTAACTGTAGTTTACGTAATGAGACAGTCTGCTTTATGAACGTGCTACTTTACGTCCAGTGCAATTAAGAATGTTATTAAAACTGGTAAGTTTATTCTAATCGCCAAATGAAAAATAGTATATTTATTATATGGCAATCTTTTTCGACTCTATAAGCGTATTACGATCATTGTCCAAATTTAAATTTAGTTAGTTTAAAGTTTAAACTCATTGTCCCATTACGTCAGAAACTAGAAATTTACTTCATCAATGTATCCTATTATCCCATGTATAGCCTATGCATCAGACAATGAAAACGCAGCTCAATTGGCGGATGAGGCTATTGATTGCGGCGATGTCCCGTTATTCATTAATTACTTACGATTTGCATATACATACCGCGATTTCTCTCAGGAGTTTCTGGGAGGAATCTTGAGCAGTCAGCAGCCGTACAATTGTTTTATGCGGGCGTACAACTATAGTATAATAACAGGCAAGTCAAGTAACTCCATACAAGCGCAGCGTTATACGTGTGCATGCCCCGCGCGCCTTGTACGGACGCACACATTCGCATAATCTCGCGGTGCACTCACGTTGCATGGCGCGGGCCGTCGTACGCACCATTCATTAAAAATGAAATCACAGCCATGTTTTCAAAAATGAAGTTTAAGAAGTTGGCAGCAAGATAGTGTGATCTTTGCCAGATCTGTGGTCTTTGTAATCAGCGGAATATTTGAGAGATCGGTGTTATAAATTTATATTAGACTGTCCTTTATACGATCGTTCCTTTTTGTTCTCCTCTCCACTGGATTCACTTTTCATACTACCGTAAAGCTTATTTTGTGATTGTAAGAGTCCTATTATTTGTATATATTTCATTACAAATTACCTACATAAGTTGTACTTTTTTTTTCATCCAAAGCCACATTATATAACAAAATAAAAATATATCCAAATGAAAATATATTGAATTGTTTTTCCAATATTTTTCTTAAATAAGTTTCCCCGTTGTGCAGTGGCATAAACGCATATGCATGGCGAAGAAATAAAAAGGAACCCTGATTTACATTAAATTTGAACATCTAATGTTGTGTTTTCCTAGTAGATCTCAAGCAATCTCAATGCTAAATTTGAATATCTGTATACATATGTGTGTATATATATATATATATATATATATATATATATATAT